ATATTAATATTTTTATCACTCTTTAATAACATACTCTAGCACTTCTTGAAAATGTATTTATATAGGTTCTAGGGGTCAGATCTGGAGTCCTGCAAAGTGGAAGCATGCACTCTGCAACTAAAGCTATACCCCCAGCATCTGTATTCAGATTTAAATGAATAATTATAGTACTTAGAATGCTCTTTTCCCCCACTAGTGAGGATCCCAGAGCACTGTGCCATGCGCAGGCTAGGTACATACTCTACAAATAAGTTACATCCCCATCTCCTTTTACATTTTTGAAGTGGGGTCTCACTAAATTGCTCAGGTAGGCCTTGAACTTTTTTGATCCTTCTACCTAAGTAGTTGGAATTGCAGTTCTGTACCACTACACCCAGCTTAGAATACTTTTTTAAAATTGCTTATTCTGATCCATATTTTGGGACATATTAGGGAAGACTATTCAAATTGGGAACTGTCATAGAAAACCAAGAAATAGGGATGTCCTATTCATGAGTTTTTACAGTCTACCAAGAAAAAAGGTGATTGATCTCATTTGTTCAGGTAATATTAATTTATACTTACTATGTGATACACCCTCCTCTGGCCTCTGAACCACCAAAGTGCCTGAAACAAAGTCTCTTTCCACCAGGATCTTGATGGTTTTATATAGAGACAAATTTATAATTATTGGGATAGGTAAGGTGAATAAATGAAATAAATGGTGACTTGTGTTAAGTTTTATTATTTGTAGTGGTTCCCTTCTATTAAGGTTATGACATGCAAATCACTAGAAATGTGTACTCACTGATGATCATGTTGGAAGGTTTATCTGTTTTTGCCACGTTTACATACTTCCAGTAATAAGCTGTGCTGTAGGCTTTTATGCAGGTGAAAAGCATTGGGCAGATGAAACAGTACTGTACTTACATTGTAGTCTCTTCAAATTATATGTTCACTGCACTGAATCTGTACTAGATTTGCCTTGAATTAAGTTTCAGTGTACTTTGATGATTGTAAAAGTCACAAAAGAATTTATTAAAATGCAGAAATGCCTAAAAACCTGCAGAAAGCAGTAAAATACAATACAACAACCTAGAAAATAAGCTAATAGTCATCCTTGTTCTCACTGATGACAGAATTGCATAATGGACTGTCCTTTGCTGAGCTGTTTGGAACAAATCCTCTACTTAAAGTCACTTTACCATTTTATTTTCCCAATGATTTTGACATACTGTGCTGTAGGGGTAACAGACAAGTACATTCTTCACACTGTTCTCCACTACTAAACTGCAGAATCTCTTCTGTTATAAAAGCAAAAGATAATTGAATCAAGATAAAAATTAAGCTGGAATTAGAGGAGTAGGTGCAGGAACAAGGTAGAGTAGAGAAGGAGAGTATTGTGTGGGAAAGACAAGAATTTTGAACTTACATCTGTTTTAATTACCACTCCATCCTTTACTCTCTGGAAAGAGGCAATTTAAAATTCTTTTGTAGTAAAGTTTTCTATTCTCTGAAAAGAGTAATATAATAGTACCTACCAACACAGAGATTTAGCCTTTGTTGTACATAAATTTTACCCTGGGTTTAATTTTTATCACATGCCCTTTGTTTATTAATAGAACTTCAGTGAGCTATGGGCCAACATTTTGTTTGTTTGTTTTGAGACAGGCTAGCCTTGAACTCATTGTATAGCGCAGGATGGCCAAACTCATGGCAATCCTGCCTCAGGCTCCTGAGTGCTGGGATTACAGGTGTGCACCACCACACCTGACTGGGCCAGGTATTTTATTAAATGCTGGGCATAAAGAGGAGTACAGTAAGGTACAATTCTTAGTTTCAAAGGGTTCAAACTCAAATTAGCATATTTTTAACTGGTATGCTTCAGAGACACACAGTGTCTTAAAGAGGTAGATTATGAGGCTGGTAAATGCAGCAATTTCATTCTCGTGTAAGTGAATTCATTTCAAAATCTTTGGATTTTAGAGGCAAGGGTTTAGCTCAGTGGCACCGCACCTGCCTTGCAAGCACAAGGTCCTGAGTTAGATCCCTGTTACCAAAAAGAAAAAAACAAAAAAACTTTGGCTTTTAAAGTGTCACCTTCATAACTGTTTGAGACATTATCAGAAACAAAGATTTTAGTCAAATGAAATTGTTAAACAAGATAGAAGTCTTGAAATTCTAAAAAAAATTTATCCAATGTCAAAGAGGAACTGTAGGGTTCAGTGACTAATAGTAATGTGGGCTGTGAAAGACTAAGATTGAGATTGTATCAGACAGTAGCTACAGAGAACGTGAGCATAGTGGCAAATAAGAAGGTCATTGAATTTGTGATTAAGTTGTCATCCAAAAAAAAAAAATCACAGTGAAATGTACAAAATACCTTCCAGATGTGTTAGGGTTGGATAAAGAAGCAGAACATTTTCCTTTATTCATTTGTTCTGTAGCGGAGTCCAAACATCTAGCTAAGCTTGGGCTTTTAGGCTATATACTTAAGAAACCATTGTATACTCACCCAGCAATATCTGAAACTACTACAATGACAGAAACCTAGTTTCAGCAGCATTCTTCCAGTTAAACATATGTAACTATAGACTCACCAGCTCATATCCTTAGTCTATTTTGAGGGCTAATATCTAATCTGTGTTGCAGCTGGCAATCGTGGCATCATCCGTATGTTAATCAGCTTTTCCTGGCTAGGACAAAATACCTGATACTTGAAACTTAAGGAGAAGAGGTTTATTTGGCTAATAGTTTCAGAGATTTCAGTCCATGGTCAGCTGGCTTGAAGGCAGAAACAGCATGATGCCATCCCTTTCAGGCACAGTGGAGAAAAACTGCTCAACCCATGGTAGCCAGGAAGCAGAGAATGGAACAAGAATGAGGAAGGGGGAGTGGACAAGAACACTCTTCCAGGTCCCAGCCCCAGTGACCCACCTTCTCCAACCAGGTTTCACCTCCTAACAGCACATGCAATCCATTGATGAGTATAGTGCCTCCCATGATCCAGTCACCTTCAGCTCCTCCGCTGAACACATGAGCTTTTTGTCAAGTTATTTTTGATCCAAATCATAACAATCTATGATCTGAGAATCATGGTTTGGAGCCCAATAACTGATCTTTTGGTCAAAAACTGAGGTAAGCTTATAAAATGAAGCCTGCTGTTGAGCTGATATACTACTTTACCACTCTACCCATTGAGCTACTTCTGTTCTCTGTCTGACCTTGCACCAATAGCATAGTTACCTTCATTCATTTAGTTTTTGTAATACCTTAATGTTTCACATCCACTAACTTTTTATTATATTGTACATCAAAATTATATTAGCCTTTCTTGGACTTTATATTTTCATTTACAAAAGAAGAAACTATAATATATAGCATTTACCTGGGCATAGAATAGCTCAGTAATGGCAGACCTTTTAGAGCTTTAGATGATAAGAAATAGCCCATTGCAGCACACATGTCATAGGTTCACCACCACTGGAATAGGTACTTAAGCAATAGAAAAATTAGGAGATTGTTTTTCTACATCTGAGACATTACCTTTAGGATTTCAAATAGATTAATGATTTTCTTATAAATGTGTGGCTTTCTTATAAAAGTTTAGATATATTCTTAACATTTTTCAAATTCACCCAAACATAGAAGTTTTTAAAAACACATTTGTTACATAAAATTATAGCTATTTGAATGAGTCAGATATGCAGTCTCTGCTGCTTAGAGAGGCAGACTTTTAAAAATATATTTGAAAAAGAAAGTTTTGAAAGTAATACTTTGAAGTTAGTTGTCTGTATAAACGGATGATTCATGGATTCACTTGTCCTGTCCTTGAATCTTCATTTATAGATGAGGACTTTGAGGTTACTAGAGATAAAATAAATCCAAGATCCAAGTTCAAGTTTTGGTCAAAATAGAAGATGAAATACAGAAATTTATATAATAAATGAGAATCAGGTAATTTCTGATCAGTAAGATTCTACTATATAAACTGGAATTTTAAAGACTATTTCTCTTAAAATTATAACTATCAGTCCTTATTACAAAGTAGATTAATTCAAGAAAGATAATTGTTCAAACTTCCTGTTTTGGAGAATAGGAATTACATTTCTTTCTCCCTAAAAGCAGAGACCAAGCTCCATATATCTTACTGTTCTGTTGTTTCTTCTGTTCTATCACCAGGCATGTATGATGTGGTGATAATTTTAAGTATTTTTTTCTTCCCTTTTTTATAGTCTTGTGCTGTAATGGTGACTTTTGGAGGGGGGCAACAGTGACCTCTTAATAAGCTTTCTATTTTTTTCAATAACAGAAATTTGGAAGAAGATTAATGTGTGTTTATTCAAGATTTACTTGAAAACTTACAGAACTTTACCTACTTGAAATACACTTTTAAAAATAAACAGTAGGGCCGGGGATTTAGCCCAGTGGTTCCGTTGCCTGCCTCGCAAGCGCAAGGACCAGAGTTCAATCCCTGGTACCAAAAAAATAAAAAATAAACAGCTCATGTTAACTAATCATTGTATTTGTTATTGAAATGGCATACAATTAATAAAAAAATTTTCAGTTAAATGCCCTATCAATTTTATTTTGGGAATAAAATGAAATTTATCTCCAGAAGACTAACTGAAGTCATCACAGTGAGGAATAGCATTCTGACTTTAGTATCTATAGAAGGGTAGCCCACAATAGGAAATAACTTTCTGACTGTTTTCTTTAATTAGGAGTTTTCAAGTATTTTCTTTTGTGATTCTCAGATTTCATAGCTAGAATAAAATAACATCTTCCTTAATGGGTAGAAACACTGGATTTTAAGTATTAAGATGCTGCTTAACCCTAATTTTATGATATATAAAAGGCAGAAAGAAAAGACGACATGTCCTTGCTATAATTTCAACTTGATTAAAATGCACATTTCTTTCATTTATTTTCTGTTGGTGGCATTTTTCAAAGATAGTACATATTCATTAGAGAAAATTAAATATAAAATCATAATAAAATTTAGACTCTTGACTTGGCAAAAAGGAAGTTAAAGCCAGTGATATGTAATTTTTCCTGTAGAGAATACCTTCAGGTTGGAAAAAAAAAGCATAGTGGTGCATAAGGCTTAAAAATGAGAAATTTACAGAAGTGACCTTTATTTAGTAGGCAAAGAAGCTCACCCTCAGTAGTGAATGGAGAAGCACCATTTTGTAGCTGTTAACTTAACAAATACAGTGTCAAATACCTGTGAGGATGGAAGAATTCCAACACTCAGTTATTTATGATAGGATATAAAATATTTCAGCCTTCTAGGAACCAAATCTGATAATACCTGTTAAAATAAATACATAAATGAAAAGGGGGAGAGTGATAACACTTTTTTGGACCAATTTTGGTAATAAAAGTAACATTAGGTAAGGATGTATATAATGGTGGGTGGTTTGTGGCAAGAAAAACAGCAAAAAAATATAAGATCTTTGAAAAGAAATTGTGTATACATACTGTGGAATGTTTTGCACCTCATAGGAGGTAGATCTGTGCAATAGCCAGGAGGAATTTACTTTATAAATTACATGAAAATTATTTTTGCAGAATGACTGGTATAGCATGACCCCATTTTTCCATTTAAAGTAAACTTTATATTTGTGATTATTTTTATGAACTATAAGGAATTTAACCTACTGAAGCAAGTTTCACTTGAACAGAATTGGCTGATTGAGAGATAGGACGTTACCTTTATATTTGTTTTTTCCAATTGATACTTTTGAAATTTAGAGCAAGAAGAAGAAAATTAAAACACAAGGGCCGGGGATTTAGCTCATTGGTTTTGCCACCTGCTGCACAGGTGCAAGGACCCAAGTTCGATCCCTGTACCAAAAAAAAGAAAAAGAAAATTAAAACATAAGAAGCAACAAAAATTAGAAGAGAAAAAGCCCTTGAAACCCACTGCTCAGATGCGCATATATATGTTTCATAAATTGAAAAATACCACCCATGTTATTTAAAGCCTTTTACACCATGTCACAGAAACACTTTAATGTCAATAAACATTATATTATCACTTGTTCAGTAGATGCATAGTAGAGATAGTGATATGCTTACATTTTTAACAATCCAGGCCACCTTCATTAAGATGTAGTTGACGTAAGGTTAACGTATACATATTTAAAGTATTTTATTAGTTTTGACATCTGTATACTCTTTTTAAACCATCACTACCATCAATATAATGAACATAAAGTTTCCTCATACTCATTTATAAATTCCTCCTTCCTTCCCTACCTTTACCTCTATCCCCAGAAAAGCACTGATCTGTTATCACTATAGATTTACTTACATTTTTATAGGATGTCATATAAATGAAAATATAGGGGGACTGTGTGACTTCTTTCACTCAGCTCATCCTTGTTGTTGGGTATGTTAAACTGTCTTTTAAAGAAATTACTGAGTATGCATTTATGACTATTTGTTTAATAGACATTTTGAATGTTTCCAAGTTACTATAAACATTTATGTGTTTTTTTATGGACATATGCTGTCATTTCTCTTTGGTGAATAATCTGAGTAAAATGTATATGGGTGGGTTATATATAGATGAACATTTCTAAGAAACTGCAGGTACTCTTCAGAGCACGTGTGTGCCATTTTATATTCCCGTCAGCATTGTTGAAAATCTTAGGCTGTTTTTTGGTGGTGAATTTCCTTCATAACTCTCCCAAAAATATATTGTGTACATATCTGCAGGTCTGTTCTGGGATATCTCTCTCCCTTTCTCCCCCTTCTCTCTCTCCCTCTCCCCCTCTCCCCCACCTCTCCCTCTCTTCCCATTGATTTAATTGTCCATCTTAATGATAATACCACACTGTCATAAATACTGAGGCTTTGTTAAGTCTTGAAATCAGATAGTATTAAGATTGCCATCTGAATTTTGACAAGTTGCTCTTTTTGTATCTGAGATAGTCAGGTTTTTTTGTTTATTAATAACCTATTTGATATTTGAATATTGAACCAACTTTGCTTTCAAGGGATAAAACTGGGCATGGTGACACATGCCTGTAATACCAGCCACTAGGGAGGCTAATGCAAGAGCTTTATAAGTTTGGGGCCAACCTGGGCAATTTAGCAAGACTTTGTCTCAAAATAAAAGTCTTAAAAGGCTGAGGGTGTAGCTCAGTGGTAAAGTGCTTCTTGCCTAGCATGCATGAGTCCCTGAGTTCAATCCCAGTACTGCCCCCTACCCCCCCAAAGAAAGGAAGAAAGAAAAGAGAAACTTTGGTCATGGTATATTTACTTGCTAAAATTCTATTCATTGGCCTGTAGTGTTTGGAAATTATCATATTTGGGTATCTGAGTAATGTTGACCATAAGTTAGAAATATTGTTTCTTCCTCATATATTGTTTCTTCCTCTTAGTAGTATTAGGTAGAATTCACTAGTGAGTCTTTTTTTAAAAAATGTAACTCATAATGAAGAGAAAGTAAATCATAACTAACATGGTAGAATTAGCAGACAAAATCACTTAAGTCATCATTAAGTACTATTACTACAAAAACAAGGAATTGAGATAAGTGGAAAACACTGAGTTGACAGAACCAGTAGACAGAAAACTAGTACAGATATGGAAGACTTAACAGTGTAATCACCCAATGTCACCTATTTGACACTTAACTCTCAAGCAGCGATATACACATTCTTTTCAAGGCACTTCGCAAATTTACCAAAGTAGACCATACTGTGGTTAATAAAACAAGTCTTAATAAGTTTTAAAAATCCAGGTCAAAACATGTGTTCTCTGTCCACAATGCAATTAAATTGGAAATCAGTAAGAAAAATATCTCTGGAAAATTCTCCAAATATTTTTAAACTAATATTTCTAAATAACTCAAAAGTCAAAGAATAACAGCAATTATAAAGTACTTTGAACTGAATGAAATGAAAACCCAACATAAAATTTTGTGAGGTATATCTTGCATTCATTTACCATTGCCAATGTGATAAATCACCATAAGTTTACTGCCTTAAAGCAACACAAATTTATCATTGTAACATTTTGGAATTCAGAGTCAAAAAGGGTTTCGCTGGGCTGCAGTGGAGGTGTTTTCAGGTCTGTGTTTCCTCTGGAGGTTTGCTGTGTGTTTCTCCTGTGGGAGAATCTGCTCCCTAGAGGCAGCCTGCATTCCTCCACTGAAGTGGAGCCCCTTCCTCCACCTTCTAAGCCAGTGACATAGCATCTGCAGATTGCTATGATTTTTCTGATTCCTCTTTTCAGTTAAAAGGACCCTTTTGATTACAGTGCAAACCTATGGCATGTGTACCACAGCAGGCTGTTTGTATCATTAAAAGCTCTAAAAAGTTCACCATCACTGATCTAGGATAATATTCTCCCCATTTCAAAATCTTTAATTATATGACATCCGCAAAATCCCTTTGGCCATGCAATGTCACATATTCACAGGGTCCAATTAAGCCAGACATTTTTGGTGGTCTCTTATTCTACCTGCCACACTACTAAAGCAGTATTTAGATGGAAATTTATACCACTAACTGCCTATATTAGAAAAGAAAAACGTTTTTATATTGTTGACTTCAGCTGGTACATAAAGTATTAAGAAAAGCCAGTAAATCCAAAGAAAGTAGAAAACTGAAAATTATAGATAGGAAATAAATGGAGAGTAGTAAAAGAATCATTGAAACCAAATAAACTTAATTGACTTTTACTTTGATGATTTTGTTTTTGTTTGTTTTGTTTGTTTTAGTACCAGGGATCAAACTTGGGACCTTGTGCTTGCGCGGCAGGCGCCAAAACCACTGAGCTAAATCCCCAGCCCCCTTTGATGATGTTTTAATGTTAAACCTCAAAGTAGAAACATTTAAATTGTGTTATAGATGTCTATTTTTGATAGAATTTGAATCTCAGTTTCTTCTTTTATTATACTTGCATTTTTTTACTTCCAGTTCTAGGTCCTAGGGAGACTAGTTCCTATTATTCAAGCTTCTTATCATAAAACAGAAAGTCTGTTTTTAACATACAGTGGAAGCATAATTACCAAGCCAAAATACATTTCAAATAGCAACTCCTGAAAAGTTGCTGGACAAGGCCCAGAGATTTAGCTCAGTGGTTCTGCTGCCTGCCTCACAAGCGCAAGGTCCTGAGTTCAATCCCCGGTACCCCCTCCCCCCCAAAAAAGATCCTGGACAAACACTGATAGATTTACTCTCTTTCTTTTGGTTGACATCTCCCAGTAACCCATAATTCTTGCACATCACCATTATGTATGTGTGTATTACCATTTTGATCCTTTGCCAGTTCATTTACATCTTCACTGTGAAACTTATTCTTCTCTCACCTGAGTTTATTCTTTGTGTTGCATCAGTTTCCTAGGTAAATCACAACAGTTTTCTAAATTCCCAAGAGGATTTCTGAAAGGGAAAAAAAAATGTCAGGAATGGGGACAGAATAGGATCCTACTTAGAGGATCAGAACTCTTGAATGTGATATAGTCAAAATGATTTAGTGCCAACCTGTATGATTAGAAAACTGAGTGAAGGAAAGAATAAGTCAGAAATGAATAAGAAGGGATGAAAACCAGGTGTTTGTCAAGGAACTCTCAGAAGGTTCCATTCTGGAACATTCTACTCTGTTTCTCTACAACCCTGTGACAATGCACTGGGCTTTTCCCTCACCAATAGTGAAGTATCTGTACTTGATAAATCTTCAAGCCTTGGTTTTATGTGACTCAGTCCTTAGCCCTGTTCTTGGGATACACTGATTTTAAGTCTTATACCTAGGAAGTTCATGTTGTATTCCAAAAGAATGGAGCTCCATAAGGGAGACTTTTTATACTTCAAGAAATCTACCCTAGCTACGAGTCACAAGCTCTTCAGCCAGTCTACCAGGTTAGTGTACTACCAAGCCTTCCCTTCTCGTTAGCAAGATACTGGGGAAAAGTTAAAATCATCTGCCAACCCAGAAAGTCATCTTCACAAATACAAAACAGCAAGAAAACAGTTTTAGGGGCCGGGGATTTAGCTCAGTGGTTCCACCACCTGTCTCGCAAGCACAAGGACCCGAGTTCGATCTCCGGTACCAAAAAAAAGTTTTATTACTGAATAATTAGTAACAAAAAAATGCAGTAAACATTAGACTGAGATTGCAGAATGAAGGAAATTTCACTCAGATAGCTAGGCAGATAATAATCCATTATGTATGTGATTTGTTTTGTCTGTGTGTGTTTGTTTTCTGCAGTACCAGAGATTGAACCCAGGGCCTTCTCACCCAGCTATATCCCCAGCCCTTTTTAAATTTTGAGACAAGGTCTCACTAAGTTGGCCAGGCGGGGCTTGAATCTGAGTTCTTCCTGCCTCAGGCTTTCATGCATCTGTTCTAATAACTTATCCTCCCATAATAGCATTCTACCAGCTTGATTTGTCCTAAATTCTCCTGGTAATTTTGGTTTTCCATCTGCTAGTTAGTTGTTTTTATCCAAATGAAAAAAATAAAGCTTCTCATATCTTTATAAGAAGCAAGTAGTTACTAGAGCCAGGTGCCTAGATGAAACTCCCATGTTAACAGGGAGAGAAAGCTGTGTCTTCCATGATGCTTGAATTTCAAAGAGTAAAAAGGATCAAGATATGTGTATATACCAATTTACCAGTAGTTGTGATGTATTCCAAATATATACTGATAAGAGTTGGGTCCCAGGCTCTTAAACATTCCTAAGTTATAATGTTGATAAAAGCCTTTCTTAGCTTTTGAAAAGATTTATATAGATATCAAAGGGACACTTAACTTCTCATGGAGTTTATAGCAAAGGGGTTTTTCAGGACTTAATACCTTTGAAAATTGAAAATAGGGCTAGGGATTTAGCTCAGTGGTTTTGCCGCCTGCCTCGCAAGCACAAGGTCCCAAGTTCGATCCCTGATACAAAAAAAAAAAAAAAGGAAGAAAGAAAATATATTGGGGCTTCAGGTGTAGCTCAGTGGTAGTGATCTTGCCTGGCATGCACAAAGCCAGCACCCACTCCCACCTGCCTCCCAAAGAAAATACTGTAAGTCAAAAATGCATCTAAAACACTTAACCTACCAAGTATCATAGCTTAGGAGCACAGTACACTATAGAGTGTCCTTGCTGTTTTCTGCCTTTGTCATCAAGTGACTGAGGTTTGATGATGCTACATAGCTTCTCAGAAGAGTATTGTATTACATATTGCTAGCCCAACATCGAAGTTTAAAGTACAATTTCTAATGAAAGCAAGAGTTTTCACACCATCATAAACTTGAAAAATCATTAAACAGTTGTAAAGTCTGAGGCCATCTGTACAATTTTCTCTAACCAAACAGTTAATAAAAAGGAGAAGCAAGAAAAGATCTATCTCCTTTTTAGCACCAGAAAAAATTGAAAAAAGTTTTAAACCTTTACAGCTTACTTGATTAGTGAAGAAGTAATCTAGTAAAAAGAGGCAAAATTAAGTTTACCAGTATGGTATGGTATCTATTAAAAGTTGTTTTCAGGGGCCGGGGATTTAGCTCAGTGGTTTCACTGTCTGCTGCGCAAGCGCAAGGACCGGAGTTCAATCCCCGGTACAAAAAAAAAAAAAAAAGTTGCTTTTTTTAATATTGCATAGCTAACAGAATACCTTGGGACTAAAAGGTTATTTGTCATGTGTCTTCTTTTTTTATTTTTTTGGTACTGGGGATCAAACTCAGGACCTTGACACTTGCAAGGCAGGCACGGTGCCACTGAGCTAAACCCCCGGCCCATGTGTCATTTTTTAATATATGAAAAGATAAATATATATATTTAGAACCATTGTAAAATTCAGGACCTTGCACATGTTTCATGTGCATTCTGCCACTGAGCTATATCCCCAATTTTTAAATTTTTATTTTCTGAGTTAAAGTCTCACTAAGTTGTCCAAGCTGACTTCAGACTTAAAATTCTCCCTCCTCAACCTCCCCAGTAGCTGGAATTACAGGTGTGTGCCACCAAACCTGCAAACCTGGCTTTCTTTTTTCTAGTGCAAAACCAGTATAGTTACCTCATATCCAAAATGCTTGAGACCAGCAGCATTTCGAATTTCAGAGCTTTTGGATTTTGAATATCTACAGAAACTGTTGGTTGAACAGTCTTCCTGAAATGTTCCACAATCCAAAATGTTTTGAGCCTCTTACTGGATAAGTTTTCAGATTTCATATTTTTGAATAAGAAATGCTCAACTGGAACTATCTTGAGAGCTCCATGAGTTCTCTAGGCCCCCAGGAGATCAAAGTCATGAGCAAAAATAATAATGTTCTTAGTAAAATTAATATTGGGCTGGAGGTAGAGCTTATTCATAGAGAGCCTACTCCCTAGTATTCACAAGGCTATGGGTTCTATCCCACATCACCACACATTTAAAAAAAGGCTGATTTTATTTATTTATTTTTAATTAATTTATTTATTTTTATTTTTTTGGTACCGGGGATTGAACTCGGGACTTTGCACTTATAAGGCAAGCAACAGCACCACTGAGCTAAATCCCCGGCCCAGCTGATTGTATTTAAAAGCATCTGACCTAAAATCTACAGCAAAAACCCTCAACTTTATAACAAAACAATATGAGAAACAGTAAATGAAAACTGACTTTAAAAGCTTCACTTTTTTCTCACAGTTTAAGATTAATATAGATAGTGAAGACCAAAACAGTATCCATTATTCAAATATGTAATTAGAGGGCTGGGGATTTAGCTCAGTGGTACCGCACCTGCCTTGCAAGCGCAAGGTCCTATATTAGCATTAAACTTTTCTTCATTTCCTTCTAGTCTTTACATTGACATTTTATATGGTTATAAATGTAGTTTGACGTAATTTTATACTTTGCCTTTTCCATCTTTTAACATTAGTATGATTAATCTCCCCACCCCTTCCAATCAAACCCAGGCCCTCATACATGTTAGGCAAGCATTCTACCACTTAAATTACCTCCCCAGCCCTCTAATCTATTTTTTGAAACCCTAATTTAATTTCATTAGTTTTATGCAAACTTTTTGCCACGAAGAGTAGCTTATAAAATCTGTGCTGTGATATTTGATCTTTATCAGTAAATCTGATAGTTTAATGAGTTTAACTTTATTTTAATGTGAACCTTCCCTAGACTAGTCAAGACTTTTTTCTCTGGTCGTATTTACTCTAAAGACTGAAGTTTGAGGGGTGACAGGATCTCACAGTGTATGTAGTTCAGGCTATCCTTGACCTCACTATGTAGTCCAGGTTGGCCTCAAACCATGGGAGTCCTGCTGGATCCTTCTAGATACTGGAATTACAAGTGTGTGCCACCATGCCTGGCTTAAGACTTAACTTTTAAAATCACGAACTTTTAGCTCTTTTTATTGTTCTTCACTGCCTTTTACATCTTTTCTAAACTTTAATTATCTTCCTTATAACTTGTTTTCAAATTTTCATTTTTTGAAATAATAATCATGAACTTTTAGCAGCTTAATCAAAATTTAGCAGACTGAATTAGGTAGGGATTTGGCAGAGTTGATTTGTTAGAGTATTTCCTACTAAAAGATCAAAACCATAAAGGTTTAAATTATTGTTTGAAATTAAATTTTTAAAGAGATTATAAAACTAAATTTACAATATGTGTGTAATTGTACTTTTTTGCTAGAAAGAAAACAAACTAAAATATTCTTACTATCTCAGAGATAAAGCAGTTTTTTACATGGGGGAGATGAAAGAGGAAGCAAAAGGGAAGGCAAGTAAAAAGGACCAAGATGCAATATATATGTTCCAATTCCCTGTGATGACTGCATTTTAATTTTAAAAAGGAAAAATAATTTTTTGCCACTTTCTGACTATAATAGTTCTTCTGTGTTATTTATCTTATGATTAGGAAAAATAGATTAAATATTCTGTATTAGGGTTATGCCAGTGATAGTTGCAGTATTTGTCATACTTACTGTACATTTCTGACATCTCTTTGAGTTGGGATTTTAGATTAAAAACCATGAGCTATTTGGAGTTTTCTCTAGGTGCTGATGCTCCTGCAAAAAAAGAAAAAGGAGAGAGAGTACGTGTTCTAGATCTTGTTTGTACACAAAGTAGTTCCTCAGAATGCACTATATCCTCAGGTTGTATTATATGCCTATCTCTTGACTTGTCTCTGTGAAAGCTAACATTTCACAAAAAGGTTTTTCTGAGTACTTTTTCTCAAGGTTTGGGGAAAACTTTTTTTTAATGCCACATAGGTTTAATAAAAACCAGTAGGGCCGGGGATTTAGCTCAGTGGCACCGTGCCTGCCTCAGGAGCGCAAGGTCCTGAGTTGGATCCCCAGTACAAAAAAAATTATATACATATTAAAAACCAATAAATATATAGACCTTCTGTATTAGCCCCAGACCTTTTCTCCTAGTCCATTATTTGTCTTCCAAGTTGTATAGAGATACTCATTAGATCTTAGTTTACAAGAGTAGTAACTTGACTCCAGTAGTGCCCATATGAAAAGTCAATGAAAGTCTTCCATCTATGGGGACAGTTTTTCAGACATTTTGCAGATACCAGGAAAATATGACTGTACTGTGGTTTCTTTCTGATCTTAAGATGAAGTTATTGCCAGATTTGATGTGGCACAATTTGGGAGAATCAGTATTCCATACCAGGGGACCAGAGTTGAAAATGGGAATATTCTTAACTTGATGCAATTTTTGACATAAATTTCAAAACCTCTGTGGAGAAAAGACAAAGAATCTTACTAAAACTTTTCTTTTTGAATCTTACTAAAACTTAACAGTTAAATTTGCCTATATCCCCAGTAGTTTCCCAAATTTGTATATTAGTCATTTGATAAAAAAGAGTTCTGAGGAAAAACAAATGCTTTCCCCCCACTAATGTAAAAGTTTGCAAAAATCTTAAAATCAGAGTGTTTGTTATTGTTGTTGTTACAATTTACTTATTTTTCAAAGTAGTAGAGATTAAAAGTTAAGTG